CACATTTCGTGTTTCTAAAGTTGTTAGGGAAACTCTGGCTTCCCTGTGTCAGCGAGGCTCCATCCTGGGCCTCTCCCTGCCGCCTCCCTGGCACCTGCTCCCCCCTCGCCAACTCCCTTGCCTCCATTTCCTGGAGTAAGTTTGCCCAGGCTTGACACCAGCCGGTTCTTAGCCTGGCGCTGTCCTTTCCTGGAGCTCGCCCGGGTGTGTGGGTGTACTGGGTCAAGGGCTGGAGGGATGGGCTTGGAGCGAGTTCAGATTCTCCTCTCTCCATTTCTCTTCCTCACCTGCAACGTGGGAATAGCAGCAGCAGCAGCAGCGGCCTGCCTTGCAGGGCTGTTGTGGAAGCTCACAGGGCTGAGTCTGTCAAGCCCTTTGCCCATAAAATGCAGCATCGACTGGCAAGTAATAAGACACCTTCCATATTATGGGAGGCTGTATGGGCATCTTTCTGTGTGCTAACATGCGTGGCAGAGAAGGGCATGGCTGTGGGGCGGGGAAGCGACCCACAGCTGTTCCTGGGGCTGCCCCTTGGGTCTTATCTGTCAGAAGCAGCCAGGGGAGCTGTGTCTCTGCCCTGTGTGTGACAGAGAGAGAAAGGGACAGAGAACAAGCTTTGCTTAGGTGTGACTGAAATGGGTGCTGCAGCTCGGGGGAACGGAACGGCATCCGCCAGGGAAGCTTTAGCTGTGGCTCCGGCTTTTCGGGGGGTTGGACTGGATGGCCCTCAGGGGTCCCTTCCAACTCTACCATTCTATATCTCCCCCCCTCCCAGTTGTAGCTGGGGAAGGGGAAAGACCTGTCTTGTGGATCCAAGAAGTAGGGAGAGGGGAGAGGGCTTCCAGGCCTGGCTGCTTGAAGAGACCCTGCAGTCTAGTGGTTAGAGCGTTGGCCACGGAGTCCAGGGCTCGAATCCCCACCCGGCCCTGTAGCTCCCTGGGTGAGCTTGGGCGCCAGTCGCCCTGCCTCTCAGCCTGGCGTCCCTCACAGGGTTGTTGGGGGGATTAAATGACGACCAGGAATGCCAGCTTGAGCTCCATGGAGAGGAAGGTGGGGCAGAGCGGTCAGTTGTTCCCTGTTGGCACCCTGGCATTGGCTGTTTGGGCTTGGTGGCGTCTCCGAGGGCAGCGGGGCTGGAGGAGGGCACTGGCAGGAGACCCCCCCTTGCCCCCCCTCCAATGCCCCCTGCCCCCCCTTTTGTTGTTTGGCTTTCTTGGCTGATTTACATACTGTGCTCCCATTGGCTGGCTCAGCCACCACCATGGTGACAGCTGACTGAATGGGGAGGGGGTGTCTGTCCAGGGGAGGTGAATTGGGGGGGGGCAGCAAGCAGAGCCAGACCCAGGACCCTGGGAACTCCCTTTGCCTAACTCACCAGTTTGGGTCTTTACCCGCCTGGCACTTGTGCCAACGTGGGCAGAGGCTCCCTCTCCGGCTCTTGGGGAGTCTCTGGGTGCCTCTGCAGGAAGAGAAAGGTAAAGACTTGCTTCGGAAGGAGCTTCCTGCCTAAAAGTGGCTGAGGACTGCCTACCCCTCGGAATATGGCTTGGCTCGCTTGCCCGAGCCCTCTAGCACTGACTAGATGTGTGGGTGGATCTGTGGAGGGAGCTGGGGGATGATCAGGACGGGGGGCAGCCCCACCCCGGGGGCAGGGGTCTGTCGGATTCAGCCTTTGCCAACTTGCCGCCCTGCCGTTGGTCTGGACTACCACTCCCATGATCCAAAACACAGAATCATAGTTTTTTCTAGAGCTGGAAGGGACCCTGAGGATCATCTAGTCCAACCCGTCTTGCGAACAACTGGTTGGCAAAGGCGGAATTGGACCGTCTGGCCTGCGGTCCCTTGAGATGAATGGCATGGCCTCTCCCACATGTAGGGGAGCAGGGCTGGGGTCTCCTGGATTCTGCCTAGGGACTTACAGGCCAGAGAGGCATGAGGAAGGGGTGGGGGCGCTTCTGAACCACCCTCGTGGGCTGTGCACTTGTGATGCTTCCTTTTGCTTCAATTTGGCCCTGGGTGGCTCCAGCGCTGGCCTTGGGGGGCATTTCATAGAATCATAGAGTTGGAAGAGACCACAAGGGCCATCGAGTCCAACCCCCTGCCAAGCAGGAAACACCATCAGAGCACTCCTGACATATGGTTGTCAAGCCTCTGCTTAAAGACCTCCAAAGAAGGAGACTCCACCACACTCCTTGGCAGCAAATTCCACTGTCGAACAGCTCTTACTGTCAGGAAGTTCTTCCTAATGTTTAGGTGGAATCTTCTTTCTTGTAGTTTGGATCCATTGCTCCGTGTCCGCTTCTCTGGAGCAGCAGAAAACAACCTTTCTCCCTCCTCTATATGACATCCTTTTATATATTTGAACATGGCTATCATATCACCCCTTAACCTCCTCTTCTCCAGGCTAAACATGCCCAGCTCCCTTAGCCGTTCCTCATAAGGCATCGTTTCCAGGCCTTTGACCATTTTGGTTGCCCTCCTCTGGACACGTTCCAGTTTGTCAGTGTCCTTCTTGAACTGTGGTGCCCAGAACTGGACACAGTACTCCAGGTGAGGTCTGACCAGAGCAGAATACAGTGGCACTATTACTTCCCTTGATCTAGTTTCCTGCCTTGGACCTGCTCCCTCCCTGTCTCTGGTTTCGTGCTTGTAATTCCAACCCCCGTTAAATACAGTCATACCTTGGAAATCGAACGGAACCCGTTCTGGAAGTCTGTTCGACTTCCAAAATGTTCAGAAACCAAAGCGCTGTCCCCTTGCTTGGTTTGGGGCCCTGGGCTTCTTTCTGCTCCCTGCCTTACATTCTTCCTTGAGCATCCTCCTCAACTCCTGTGAAAGGATTCAGTTCTCGCTGAGCCGGTGGCAGCGGCCTCTCTGCAGCCTCGCTGCCCCTATTTGGAGCTTGCCAAAGGCTCCAGGAGAGGTCTGCCAAGCCCAGAGGCCCTCGGCCTCTTCTGCCCCCTCTCCCCCCATGCACATGCAGTGGGGGGGGGGAATGGGAATTGTGGGTGGCAGGGCCCCACCGCTGCTCTTGCCCACGGAACTTTGACCCATCCCTGCTCAGCCAGAGGACCCTGGGGGCGTCTATAGTCCTGCTTCTCCAGTTCTCTCCTTTTCAGGTCTGGCTGCTTCATGATGAGGCGATGAGTCCCACCAGTTCCTCCTTCCTTTCTCTCACGAGGCTGGCATGGCTCTTCCAGTTCAGATACTGGATGCCGCCTCAGCCTGCTGCTTCATTTTGCTCAGAATAATAATAATAATAGTTTATTATTTATACCCTGCCCATCTGGCTGGGATTCCCCAGCCACTCTGGGCTGCTTCCAACCCAATATTAAAAGCAATGCAGCGTCAGACATTAAAAACTTCCCTAAACAGGGCCGCCTTCAGGTGTCTTAGTTGTTTATTGCCTTGACATCTGCTGGGAGGGCGTTCCACAGGGCAGGTGCCACCACTGAGAAGGCCCTCTACCGAATTTTAAATCTTTAAAAATTTAAAATTTAAAATTCGGCTTTGTAATTCGGAATTTATGTGATGTGATTTAATTTGATTTGATTGGCCGGTTAATAAAAATTATTTGTTTTAAAAAAGAGAAGGCCCTCTACCTGGTTCCCTGTAACTTGGCTTCTCGCAGGGAGGGAACTGCCATAAGGCCCTTGGAGCTGGACCTCGGTGTCTGGGCTGAGCGATGGGGGTGGAGAAAGGGCTCCTGGGAAGACAGATGCCACAGGAGGGACAGGGCAGCACCTGAACCTGCCGTACAAGGAAAGCAGAGCCCCTGGGAAGTGGCCTCAGCATCTCTCACCCTCTTATTGCGAAGTGTTGCACAGATTCTTTCCCCACTCGCTCCTCCTTGGGGCGCTAGGCCTCCTGCTCTCCCTCTGTGGTCGGTGGTGGGGCTTGTGGCTCCCACGCCCCTGTCCCCTCTTTCTCCCTCTATCTCCTGCTTGGCCCATGCTGGCAGGGAGAGCAGGTTTGGCTCAGCCAGTGGCCTGGCTTGTGGGATGCACCTGGGCCTGTTGGCTGGCTCCTCTCAGTCTCCTCTTTTCCAGGATAAACATACCCGGCCCTTTCCACTGTTCCTCATCAGGCTTGGCTTCCAGACCCTCGGTCATCTTGGTTGCCCTCCCTCCCCTGCGCGCCTCCCAGCTTCGCAATATCCTTCCTAAATGGTGGTGCCCAGAAGCGGACACAGTGTTCCAGGTGTGGTCTGACCAAGGCAGAATAGAACAACGGCCCTATAACTTCCCTTGGTCAAAACGCTAGACTTCTGTTGATGCAGCCTAGAATAGGATTAGCTCTTTTTGCTGCTGCATCACACTGTGGACTCATGTTCCACTAAGACCCCAAGATCCTTCTCACATGTACTACAGTGGTCCCTTGGTTCTCAAATGCCTTGGTACTCAAACAACTTGGAACCCAAACACTGCAAACCCGGAAGTAAGTTTGCAAACTTTTTTCGGAAGCCAAACATGCTCCGTTTTGAATGCTACGCTTCCAATTTGAGTTCCACACTTCCGTTTTGAGGTCTGTTTTTACTATTTTGCGTTTTTGTGGTTCTTTTTTGTTTTGCTTTTGTGACTGTGTGGAACCCAGTTCAGCTACTGATTGATTGATTGTGTGACTGCAGTACATTGTTTATTGCTTTCATTTTATGGATCAATGGTCTGGTTAGATCGTAAAATTCATGTTCAATTGCTGTTTTAGCGGTAGTTTTTAAAACTCTGGAACGGATTAATTCATTTTGCATTACTTTCTATGGGAAAGCGCGCCTTGGTTTTGGAACGATTTGGTTTTGGAACGGACTTCCGGAACGGATAAAGTTTGAGAACCAAGGGACCAATGTACTGGCAAGCCAAGTGTCTCCCACCTTAACTAATACATATTATTTGGTACTTGAGAGAATTTGATGATTGCATAATTAAGCATTATTTTTGTGCCCTTTGAGGGGCCACGTGGCAACGAGTGCATCTCTCACCTGGTCCTCTGTGTGCTTCTCCCAGGTCTTGAAGAAGGGGCTCTGCCAGAATCGAGTGCTTCTGGGGTCTCTGCCGCTGGCGGAGTGCCAATGGGAGAAGATTCCTGCTGCCATTGCCACTCTCTGTTTGAAAGGTCCTGTGGAACTGGTGAGTTAGCGAGTCAGGTAACCTTTCTTGGCATCACATAAGAACATTCAGAATACATTCAGAATAGATAGGCCAGTGCGATCTCGTTGCCACCCAACGGCACAGTCACCCACCAAAGGGCAGAAGAGGCGAGCATCCGCCTCATCTCTGAGGGTTTCCAGCAAGGGCAGGATCCTGTAGCGTACTTTGGCGACAAAAAATCAAGTAGAGGACCTTAGCTACTGTCTTGGTGAGTTCCTGGTCTCTCCCCTGTAATAAGAAGCGCATGACCTCCCTCTCTGGTTTCCATGTTGGAATACATAGATGGTCTAGAAATTGTTGGCGGAGATCACCCTACAGTTAAGGGCCATGTGAGCTAGAGTTTGGTGAGTGCGCGAGAGAACAGCCTGCGGTTGCAGCATGATTCCTGCCTGCAGGGCGAGTCTCTGCTGAGCTTCCCACTGAGCAGGGACTGGGGACCCGTGGCCCTTCCACGCACTGCGGCAACCAGCCAGTGGCAGGGGGTGGGGGTGGGAAGTGTCATTCAACAGCGCCTGGAGAGCAACAGGGGTAGCCACCCTGGCCCCCTAGAAGAGACAAGCTTACGGTCCTAAGCTAGAAATTTACCAGGCATCAGGCGTGTTTCGCACCTGGTGCAGGTCCAATTGCAACCATGTGGAGATCTCAGGATGCCAGGCTTGTGACTGACATCCTCTCCAGCTTTCTTAGGCAGGTCAGCAAAAGAGCTTATTTGTTGCATATATGACCCACCTTTTCCTACAAGGGGTCCATGGTTCACCCCCTCCTCAGTTAATCTCTACAACGTCCCTGGAAGGTAGGTGAAGAGGCTGCGACCGACTCCAAGGTCACCCCGTGAACTTCACGAAGGAGTGGTCTTAGTCTGGACCCTCTGGCTTCCTGGAGTCCTTCTGCTGTGGGGCAGCTCAGTCAATTAAGTAGGTAAATAAATAAATAGGGAGGAAGCAAAATGTCCCTTAGAGAAGCATCTGAAATAATTTCTTTGAAGTTTGAATTTGTTTTCTTCTGGATCATTTTACTGGGTGTTATACACACACACACACACATTTTTATTAATTTTTTAACATATCATTTCCAACAGTCATTTAATATAACTTCTTATCTTATACAATATTTTAGACTTCCGTCAACAACTTCTGAAGATTTTCCATTCTTTAACACTTATTCTACATTTCTTAATTTCTTTATTACTTTTAATTATCATTAACTAATAATTCTCTTCATAGTCTTCCTTGCAATATTTCATATAATCCTCCTTACAGAACTTCTTGCAGTCCTACTAGCGTAATCTGTTTTATTACAATTGCTTTTCAAATAGTTCAAATATTTACTCCAATCTTCTAAGAATCTCTGGTCCCACAGGTTTTGAATCCTTCCTGTTAATTTATCTAATTCTGCATAGTCCATTAATTTCATTTGCCATTCCTCTTTCGTCTGTAATTCTTCTTGCTTCCATTTTTGTGCCAATAGTATTCTTGCTGCCGTTACTGCGTATAAAAACAACTTGCAGACCTGTCTGTTGACACCCTCCCCTACAATGCCAAGTAAAAATGCTTCTGGTTTTTTAATAAATGTATATTTCAACATCTTTTTCATCTCATTATATATCATTTCCCAGAAGTTTTTCACTTTCTTACATTCCCACCACATGTGATAAAAAGTTCCTTCTTTTTCCGTTTTACTGGATGTTTTAATGTGTTGTAAACCACTTTGGTTCCCCCCACCTTCAAAATATAAAGCAGTATAGAAATGAAGTGATTAATGATGATGATGATGATTCTGTGTTTGTTTCTCTGCAGTCCCACTGCTGCTGCTGCTTCCGAGTTGCCCTGTTTGCCCGCGAGGACTTTGAGGAAGCCAGGAGGCAGAACTTGCGCCGCAGCCCGTGATGGTGGGAGCCATTCCCAGGCAGCCACGCCGCTTCTGGGGAGTGCCAGGGTGGAAGGTCTCGCCTGCCGGCTACGCCAGCCACCGCCTGCTGCTGGAGGGGGAGCCCAGGGTGCCCAGGAGGAGGACGAGGGACCCTTGGCAGAGGGGTGAGTGCCCGGCTGCTTTGAGGCAGCCATTCTTTCATTGAAGGGATTTTCCTCCCTTTCCCATTTGTTGCTATAAGTACCCTGGCAGTTTCTCTCCACTTTCTTGAGCCTGCGCAGGAGTTCATGAGCCTTTTCTTTTTGCGCTGCCCCTCACCCGCCTTCTCTTCTCGTTCCAGATGCGGCCATGAAGCACACTTCATAGCAGGGGCTTTCTCCAGGCTCCCAAAGGCCCCGCGGCACTTTAGCACCCTTCCCTGCCCCATCGCACCCCATGCGGCACATCAATGCAGAGTCGGCCCTCCCCCAGGAGCGCAGTGCAGGCACCAGCCGGGAGGAGGAGCAGGAGGAAGAGGAGGAGGCGGAGGAGGAAGGGCCCCTCCCCTGGCGCCGCCACCGCGGGGTCCTGATGGGCTGCGGCCCCGCGGAGCTCGCCTGCCAGAAGGTCTACCAGGTCTCCATCTTCTCCCCGCCGGCCGGCTGCTCCCCGCCTCCGGAACAGAGGGCTCCCGGGAGGCAGCCCATCAAGCGCCCCTGCCCGGAGCCCCAGCGGGGGCCGGAGGGGGCCGAGTGGGACGCCAAGAGGGGCCGCTGGGAGGAGGGGGACGATGACATTGAGGATGGGCTGCTGGTGGACGAGCTCTCCCTGGGGGGTGCCGCCCAGCACTTCTCCCACAGCGGCCTGCGCGTGGTGGAGCACCGCCCCGAGAGCAGCCCCCCCAGGGCACGAGGGGCCACCCCAGCGCAGGCCCCGCACACCCCTTGCGACACTTTGCACACGGCGAAGAGAGGCTGCGCCCCCGCCTCGCCGGACCCTGGCCCTGCCGGGGGGCAGGAGAAGAACGGGGGCCCCAACCGCCTCCTGGGCCCTGGCTTGCACAACCTTGCACATCAGCCCCAGCTGGGGGACGCGCCCCTGGGGGCACCCGGAGGGCACCTAGAGCCTGGCACTCCGCCAGCGGCTCGAGGCTCGGATGCCAACGGGCTGGGCTCTGCCGAAAAGACTCCACACCCCAGCTGCGGGCTCCTTGGCGGAGGGACCGGCTGCTGCCCAGCGAAGCGGAAGTTGCTGCCCTCCTCGGCGGAGGGGGCGGCTGAGGCGGGGGGCTCCGAGGACGAGGGGCACCCCCCTGCCCGGAAGAAGAAGAAGAGGGCCCCGCCCTGCCCCCCCGTGCCAGCCTCCTGCCGCAGTACCGACGCCAAGGGCGCCCCTTTCTGGAACCACCTGTTGCCGGTGGCCAAGGTGAGATTTTGCTTTGCTTTGCTGGGGGGGGCCTGGGGGTGTGTGAGCTCCCCCCTTTGTGGGGGTCGGGGGAGGAAGGTTGCAGCATTTTGGGAAAGCACCGGGCTTCTGTGATATTATTTATTATTTCATATATTTTATATGCAGTCGTACCTTGGTTCTCGGACGGTATCCGTTCCGGAAGTCCGTCCGACTTTCGAAAACGTTTGAAAACCAAGGCACGGCTTCTGATTGGCTGCAGGAGTTTCCTGCAGCCAATTGGAAGCCGTGGAATTCGCGTCAGACGTTCGGGTTCCAAAGAACGTTCGCAAACTGGAACACTCACTTCTGGGTTTGCGGCGTTCGGGACCCAAAACGTTTGAGTCGCAAGGCCTTCGTGAACCAAGGTATGACTGTATTTATTTTATACGCCACTCGGTCGTAGGAAGAAACCTCAAAGTGGTTTACGGAAAAGGTAGAACAATGAAAGGATCGCTTGGGAGATTCGCAACCATGATTTGAAGCATGCGGAAAGTTAAATCCAGGATAGAATAGAGTAAAAAGATTGAAACATACAAAATGTCGCCAAGGAAATGTTGCAGACAATAGTTTGTCTCCCAGTGATGAGCAGAGCCTCGTTTGGTCGCCTCTCAGTCTCTGCAAAGGATTTTCTCTGGCGCTTGCCTGCTATTCCTGAGTTGAGAAGACTGGAGCCGTCGGTGGGTACCTAGAAATATGAGTGCTGGCCCTGAGGCGTCTTGTATTTGCAGCCTTTGCTATAAGTGAGTTTGGCCTTGCCGGCCAAGTCAATTCAGTGTCTGCCCAGGTGAGGCCAGAGTGAAGGGAGGGAGAGCCCTGATTCACCCCAAAAGCCTAGACCAGCGGCTCTCCACCTGTGGGTCCCCAGATGTTGTTGGACTACAACTCCCATAATCCCTGAGCTCTGGCCTTGCTAGCTAGGGGTGATGGGAGTTGTAGTTCAACAACATCTGGGGACCCACAGGTGGAGAAAGGCTGGCCTGGACTAAGACAGGCTTCCTTTAACCTGCCAGCCTGTCTTGGGGGCTCCTTCCGTTCTCAAGGGGTTGGGGAGGCCATTGTTGTGGTTGTGGGGCCCACGCCAAGGAGGGCAGGGTGACGGGGGTGGGGGGCTGCGGTGGCCAAGCTCTGCAGGAGAGGAGACCCCCACACCCAGATGTGCGGAGGGAGGAAAGGGCTGTCTGCAGATGCTCAGATGAAGGCTCTCCTCCATCTCCCTCCAGCATGTCAAGGCTGAGCTCTGAGCCAAGGGTTGTGCCATGGGGCGTGAAGCCCTTTGGCACGAGGGATGCCTTGTGATGCCTCGGCCCCTGGAGGAGAGCTGCCGGCCCCTGCCCTTTCCCCCTCTATGTGCCAGGGAGGTCACTGCCTGGTCACTGAGCATGTGACCCGCCGGCCTCTCTCTGGAAGAGCCCAGCCGCCGGCCGGCTCTGCAGGAGCAGGCGGGCATCCTGCCTCCCACCTGGGTGCTCTCCCTGGCATCTGCCCACCCCCAGGCTTGGCTCCCCTCTCCTGCCCATGGGTGCCCACCTCCTCCAGGCACACTGGCTCCAGAGGACCCTCTTGTGGGACACTTCTAGTAAGTCACTGCGGGGGCTTCTCCCCCTGAGAGAAGACCAGGCAGGAAGGCTGAGCTGTTGCTGCAAGGTTGGGGGAATGGGACCCTACTGATGGGGGTCCTTTGGGGCTTGGTGGGCAGGTGTAGGGGTCCCAGGCAGGCATCTGGAATAGAGGGCACAGGTGGCTCAGACCCCTCGCCTCTGGGGCCTGTCCGTGTGGGGGAATTCACATTCCTGGGCTGGCTGCCTGCACGGCGGGTCTTGTGGGGCCCAGATGATGGTCGCTTTGTGGGAACCGCTTTTCGAGAGTTCGGTGCGACCGCATCTTACATGGGGTTTCAGCCCCAAGGCTCCTGGGGAGATGCAAAGACGCTTCTTCTCCAGTTGCCCCAGCGTGAACATCTCTAGCCTTCTGGAGCCAGCATTGCGCCCCCTGCCCACAGCACAGTAGGGGTTTCCTGGCACAAAAAGAGCCTTCAAGCTCTCTGCCCTGCTTGCAGCTTAACCTGTGGAATTCCAACCTGTTGGCCTGCAAAGGTGGAGCTGTTATTGCACGAGTCAAATGTATGTAAGATGCCGTTGCTTTGCAGTTCAGACCGCGAGGCTCCTTCGCTGCGTTTGGGGGTCCAGCCTCTAACCTCCCTCTCCCCCCTTTGTGTTTCCTCACCCCCCCAACCCCCCCCCCAGGGCTCGGCCAACAGCGGATCTGCCGGCTGCCAGCTGAAGGCTGGGCTGCGCCTCAAACAGTAAGTGCTTCCCCCTGCGTTCCCTTTTGGCTCCCCCCACAGTCAGTGACCCCCCAGGTGGCTGCCCAGAGTTGCTGGACGGGGAGGGGGGCTCTTGGGCATTTCCTGCTTGGGTGCCCTGGCTGGCAGCCTTGCCCTCATGCCCTTGGCTGTCTCCCTGGCAGAGGGAGGGGTTGCCCCCCCCCGGCTCTCTGGAGATGCTGCCTGGGTGCTTTGCTCTGGCAGGTCTCCGGGGTGGGCAGGGCGTGGGGGGCCTCTGCTCAAACTGACCCCCCAACCTTCTGCCCCCAACAGGAGACATCTCCGCAGCAGCCTGCCCAGGAGCCCAGCGGGCTGCAGGCCCCCCAGCGCCACCCCCTGGGCCACCACCTCCACCAGCCGTGCCCTGCTGGGGAACTTTGAGGTAACGGCGGCTGGGAGGCTCTAGGTGCGAGGGAGCGCTTCCTCTCGGGCGCCCGGGATGAGGAGGGCGGAGAGGCGCCTCTTCCATGGGGAGACCGGCTCTGTCTGCCCTGGGGGGTGGGGCTGGAGGGGCAGCGGGTGTTGCCTCCGCCCTTTATGTGGCCCTGGGATAGCTGAGTCCTGGGCAAAGGGCACCTTGGACATGGAAACAGAGAATCATTGAGTTGGGAGGGACCCAAGGGCCATCTAGTCCAACCCCTTCAATCCATGAATCTCAACTGAAGCATCCAGGACAGAGGGGCATCCAGGACATGTCCCCCTCCCCACCTGAGGCTTCAGCATGACGTGGCCCCTTTTGCCCACTGTGATGGCCAGGCAAAGGGCTCCTAGACACCCTTTCCTGGCCTCCAGTGTTGATGCTGTCAAGAGCGGCTGTGCAATCCAGTCAGATGGTTGGGGTACTATTACTACTATTAATAATAATAATAATAATAATAATAATTAATAATAATGCAAGTGCCTGAGCTGCTCCTGCTGTTTGCACTGGGGAGGGAAGGGTTAAAGAGCCCTTTGCCCACATGGCTGAGTTGCAGGATAAAAGGGGGGTTGGAGATGAGATGGGAGGCCCCTTTGTGTGGGGGGAGGGAGCCCATTCCCTTCCCCTGGCTGGAAACCCACCCACCCACCCACCCTCGTTCCTCCCTGCGCAGGAGTCCATCCTGAAGGGGCGCTTCCCGCCGGCCGGCCGGATCGAGGGCTTCACGGCGGAGATCGGGGCCAGCGGCTCCTACTTCCCGCAGCATGCCACCCTCCCCGTGGAAGTCACCTATTTCGACATAGCGGAGCACAGCGCCCCTTCGCCTTTCCTGGTAGGTGCCCTGGGGGTGGGGTGTTGGGGGGGGCTAGTGGCACGGAGGGGGCTGACTTCAGTGGAGAGACCCACTGGGGCAATGGGGCGGCATTGGCCGCCCCTGGTTGGTCATGAATGAACCTGGCTTGGATAAATCCCATACATTCTATTTATTTTTTGGGTTTAAATTGTTGTTAGATTTTTTATTTTTATCATGTTAACATTTCAAATCGTCGAAATAGAAAAAAACAATTTCCCAAAATTCCCCCCCCCCGACTTCCCTCTACTTCTGGTTTTATACATATTGACTTCTTCTCCTTGTTTGTTATATCTTCACATAAGTTCTTTATATTAATTATTGTTATCTCTTATCATTTAAACATCATCTTTATAAATTCTGTATTAAATCCCATACATTCTAGAAGACGAGAGAAAACAATGGGTACACCTGGAGAGAGACATACTCTTGAAATACCCCCATCACAGCATTCCCAAAAAAGGGACGCGGGTGGCGCTGTGGGTAAAACCTCAGCGCCTAGGACTTGCCGATCGCATGGTCGGCGGTTCGAATCCCCGCGACGGGGTGAGCTCCCATTGCTTGGTCCCAGCGCCTGCCAACCTAGCAGTTCGAAAGCGCGTCACAGTGCAAGTAGATCAATAGGGACCGCTTACTAGCAGGAAGGTAAACAGCGTTTCCGTGTGCTGCACTGGCTCGCCAGAGCAGCTTCATCACGCTGGCCACGTGACCCAGAAGTGTCTGCGGACAGCGCTGGCTCCCGGCCTCTAGAGTGAGATGAGCGCACAACCCTAGAGTCTGTCAAGACTGGCCCGTACGGGCAGGGGTACCTTTACCTTTACCTTTACAGCATACCCATTCCTCCAAAACAAACTAAGGAAAATCCCCACAACACTAAAGAGGTTCACACAGACCACGCTTAAAGCATGGAGGGAAGAAGCAGGCAGACTGTCCCCAACCCCATCCCCACCAATTCCCCTGGCTTACCACGCATTATTCTTCCGTGCAGCACAAAAAATCCAGATAAAAACCTGGCACGACAAAGGCTTATACCATCTAGCAGACCCCAGAGTCGGCCACGACTGGACCGACTGGTCAGGGGTCCCTTTACCTTTACCTTAGGCCCCTGGCAACCTTCGGAAACCTCCTCCTAACAACAAAGGGACACGGCAAATGGATGGTATTGACAATATACAAAATACTACTCCAAAATCCCACAAGCCCCCCCCCCCCGATGCTATCAAGAAACAATGGGAGGATGACACAGGCCTATGAGATTAACCTCACCCAAGGGACTAGAATGTGGTCTAAACCCCCCTTTGAATCCATCTCATCTAAAAGAAAATAACTCACTCTGAAAATCACGTACAGATGGTACCTAACACCAAGAAAACTAGCACTAATATGCCCAGGAACCTTACCAAAATCCTGGAGAGAGTGCACCTCCACAGGCACATACCTCCACATGTGGTGGGAATGTCCCAAAATCCAACTCTTCTGGACCATCAATCATACAAGAAATATGCAAAATAACTGAGCAAGTATTAGAAGTCACCACAGAACTGGTCTTACTCAACATCGTCCAAGACTATAATGGCCACTCACACCACAAAGAGCTCATAACCCACCTACTCTCAGCAGCCAGAAGCATCATATACAGAGACCTGTCAGGAGGAAGCATGGACCAATGGTACCAAATAGTATGGGAAACAGCCTTATTAGAAAAATTAACCAATAAACTGAAACTGACACGGGGCCAAATAGAAGAAGACGCCTTCACCCCAGTATGGCTCCCCTTTATCACATGCACAGCCCAACAAGACAATGTCAAAAATCCACCAACAGCATACAAATCAATATGGCTAACCTGATCCAAAACACCCACCCACCCCACTCACACATGAAAACAAAGACCACCACAGCCAACCAAAGACAACCAACCACCCCCTTGGCCCACCCCCAACCTCTCTCACCACCAAGGAAATACAACAAGTGAATAGTAAGGGGACCCACACAAGTGATGCTGGCACAACCCCCCCCCACATACACTAAGTAGAAGAATGGAAAAGCATTGCCACCTGACCCCACCCCAAATACCATTCCCCACTCTCCTTTTCTTCCTAACCTAATACTATATGCAGAACTAATGTCTCACAGCAAATGAAACTGACCTGTAGAAAACACAGCTTGAATAAAGAGACAACACACATATTTTTGCAAACGAAGATATCTTTAATCTATCTATCTATGGAAAGGTCTTAGCTAATCCAGCGTTTCTCCTGTGGCTCAAGTGGCCACGAAATGCTCTGCCCTGGCCGCTGCCCAGTGGAACTGCCCTTTCCATCGCCCACAGCTCCCCTCCCAGGGCTTGTGGCTTCCCAGTCTGCAAAGTGAGCATTATTCCACTGCCCCTTCCCCCGTCCTCTGAGCCCCCCCTGAGCCCCTAACCTTCTCTCTCTCTCTGCTCCAGGGAGTCATTGATTTGGAATCCTTGGGGAAGAAGGGCTACAGCATCCCCAAAACGGGCACCATCCAAGTGGTGAGTTGCAGAGGCCGGCAGGTGGGCAGCTTGGCTCCTGAGCTGCGCATGCAGAGAGAGAGGGGAGCAGGGAGGTGTGGGGGCCGCGCTGGCCTGAGGTTTGGGGGTGGGGAGCCCAGAGACCCCTTGCAATGCCCGCCGTCCATGGGGCAGCCGCTCTCCTCCGCCTCCGTGACGGCCTCCCCTCTTGCAGACCTTATTCAACCCCAACAAGACGGTGGTGAAGATGTTCTTGGTGACCTACGACTTCCACGACATGCCCGCCAACCACGTCACCTTCCTGCGCCATCGCATCTTCCTGGTTCCCGTTGGCGAGGAGGTGGAGCAAGGCCCCAGCCCAGCCCAGAGCGAGGGGCCCAGAAGGGTCCTCTGCTACCTGATGCACCTGAGGTGAGGAAGAGCTGGCCGTGGGGCTGGCCGCCTGGGGCCCCTGGGCCCTTCCTGGGCCACCCTAGTCCTGTCCTGGCAGGACTATCTATTCACACGCCCAAACACAAGACCCACTTAGGGCTTTTGCTTCTGGGCCCAAGCCTAGAATCCTAGAAGCGTAGCTTTGGGAGGGACCCCGAGGGTCATCCAGTCCACCCCCAACAGTGCAGGAATCCCAACTGGAAGGTTTAAGGTGATTTCTGAAAGTCCTACGCAAAAAATAATACAAATGCAATGTGAGTGTTTTGGGAGTCCTGGCTTTATCTGGGGCTGCTGCCACCTCCATATTTGCATGGGGCTGTTTCCCCTAGTTGCCTTGGAGGTGGGGAGGCTGCTCCTCGCCCCCCCACCCCAGGCATGGCAGTCAAACGGTGCCTGATCCTGGCAGTCTCTAGGGCAGGGGGCGGCAATTTTTTTAGCCACGGGCTGGTCCACTGTCCCTCAGACCTTGTAGTGGGCTGGAGGAGTGGCGAGGGGGGCCAGCCGTTGCACTTACCTTCCCAGGGGCGCGATCTGTAGCGCATTTCATCTCAGTAGGCTTGAGCGGTTCTTCAGACACTGAACAAGCGGCCTTGAAACGATTGCGGCTTACTTGCGAGTAAGTGCATCTTTAGGGCTCTTAGTGTCCGTGCATGCAGCAGCAAGGCAGGGTGCGGCTACGCGCCAATACGCGGCGTCTCCTGGCAGCGCAGGTGGAAGCTGTAAGGGAAGGGAAAGCGGACTTCTGGAGGTGGCAAGGCGGGAGGAGCCAATCTCTGCCAATCAAACGCCGCTGAAGTAAACCACGCGTGGCGTTTGATTGGCAGAGACGTCCCTGTGCCGCGTTGAGGTAAACCGGTGCAGCGATTGAGTGGCAGAGCTGCCGCCTCCTGGCCTCTTCACCCCTCATCATCACCGGGAGTCTCAGCGTTGCCGCAGGTTCCGGCTTTGGGGCACGGGCCGGATTTACTACCCAGGTGGGCCTGTGGGTCTTAGTTTGCTGACCCCTGCTCTAGGGGAAAAGCTGTCTTGGGCAGTGACATTTTTGTGCCCCATTTTCCTTAAAAGATCACAAGGAAATGTATTTCACATATGTATGGCCACTTTAAGAAGAGTGACAGGGCTCCTGTTCTCACAGTGGCCAACCAGATGCCCTAATGGGGAAACGGCAAGCAGGATTCGAGCACAAGAGATCCCACCATTCCTGCAGTTTCCAAAAACTGGAATTCAGAAGCATCACTGCCTGCAGCCATCAAGATGAAGTGGCCATTCCAATCGTCTTTTAAGGCTATCCAAATTGGTGGCCATTGCTGCTTCCTGTGGGAGGGAGTTCCACAGTTTAACTCAGCACTGCATGAAGAAATTCTTTCTTGTTTCTGGCCTGAATCTTCCCACATGTCGCCTCACTGGAGATCCTCATTCTGTCATGTCTTTTGTGTAGGGATACTTAATGTGGGAGCCAAGTGACCTCTCCTCTGCCCCCCCTTTCAGGAATAGATGGTTTGCCCCAGCAGGTCGAAGCTTAGCACACCATCCAGGCTGGGCCCAAGTACCTTTAAGTGCTGGATCTGGCCCTTCTCCTGCAGACCGCCTTCCCCCGCCGCCCCTTTAAAGCCGGTCCACTCGAGTGGATCGAATGCCATCTTGCTAAATCAGCTCTGTAGATTCTCCTCCCCTCCCTGCCAATGTCTTACCCCACTTGGGCTATAGTGCCTTTGTTCCTCAAGCTAAGCAGACTGCCCCCCCCTTCAGATTCATAGGGGAGAGGGCTTTGGATGCCTACAAGCCAGGATGGCTCTGCTCTGCCTCCACAGCTGGAGGCAGCCGTGCTTCTGAATCACAGTTGCTGGAAATCTCAGGCGGAGAGAGTTGCTCTTGTGCTCATATCCTGCTTATGGGTTTCTCCTTGAGGAATCTGGTGATGCCGGACTAGATGGGCCCCTGGCCTGATCCAGCTGCAGGCTCTCCTTATGGTGCTCCAGGTTCCTAACCTCTGAAACGTGCCTCCTCCGCTTCCCAGGTTCCACAGCTCCAAGTCGGGGAAGATCTACCTGCACGACAACATCCGCCTGCTCTTTTCCCGCAAGTCGATTGAGATTGATTCGGGGATCCCCTACGAACTGAAGTCCTTCACCGAACTCCCGCGCAACCCCTGCTACTCCCCCCGAGCCTGAGGGAGGACGGATGGACGTGGGGAGAACCCCACCCGGAGCCAGCAGGGCTTTGGCAGATGAAGAAGGAAGAGGAAAGGTCCTGAGTGCGAAAGATGAACTGGGCTCATAGTTTTTTTGTCTGCCTCGAGAGAGAGGCCTGCGCCCAGCCTGGATCTCAAATGCAGTGCTTCTCAAGCTCTAGTTGCGGTGCCCTGTGCGGTTTGGCAGGGGGTGGGGGGCAGGAGGAGCCGAAGGAAGGGGCCCGGCCGAAGGAGGGGCAGGGTGGTGTTGGAACAGGGGTGGGGTGGGGAGAGACAAAGAGGGGCTGGGGCTCTGAGATTAAGATTTGGGGCCATCGGAGTGGAGGGCAGGGTGAGACATATATATGTGTGTGCGTGTGTGTGTGTGTTGGAAGTACGAAGCACTGAAAGGGTCATGAGGGGGCGAGAGGGAAGGAAGACGGAAGATGCAGCCTTGACCATCCAGGCAGAGGCCTCCAGCTGCTTCACGGGCCGCCACCTGAGTGGAAATGTCTCACGTTGGCAAGCAGAGGATGGAGTCGCGGATGCGCTGGGGACGGTGGGAGCTCCCAGCTTTGCATTTGAACCTGCGAAGAGCAGCTGTGCGTGGCGGGGGGAGAGAGCAAGCCGTCCTTTGCACCCCACGGGGCTTCCTTCGCGTTCCGGGATTCCTTCCTCCTGGGGGGCCAGGCTCCCTGCCCTTTCTCTAGGGCATCAGCCCACCCCTGCTCTCCCCTGCCTTTTGCCCAGTGCACGAGACTCGGCAGCCCCCGGATCTTGCCCAGCTGGCCGAGGGCTTGGTGCAGGCAGGAGACCCCGAAAGGGCCCGGCCCCTGGCATCACAACGCCTGGTCCGCCTGGGGGGGTTCCAAGAGGCAGAACGCAGGAGGGGCGTCTTGGGAGAAGCTGTGTTTTGAGGGTGGGGAGACAGTGAGTGTCGCTCGCTGCTGTGTCTCCCGTGTCTTGAGCCGAGACCACCTCCCTGCCCATTCCATGCCCACCTCAGGTTGAAGACGTACAAGGTGCCAAACTCGACGACGTTGCCATGGGTGGGTGGGGTGTAGAGGAGCTGAGTTGAAGTTGTTTTGGGACTCCTGCATGGCGGTTTCCCTGTATTGGGGTTTTTTGTTAGGGGGTTCTTGGGGGTGGGGGGTCGAAAATGCTGCCTTTGCAATCACCTTGAAGCCCCTGCCGGTGGGGTGGGAGGGGGGTGGCGCAGGGGCGATTTGCACCATTTCACAAAGGAGAAAGGAAGCCTTGCTTCTGTGAAGGATTTTGGTCTTTGAGGAGCAGGAGGAGGAGAGGGCAACTTCACCCTCCGAGCTGCCCCCGCGTTGCGTCTCCTCCCTCGTCCTGCTCCCGAGAGATGAAGCAGAAAGGAGGAGAGGAGAGGGACAACCATTGTAGACACTTGAAAATATTTATATTGAAGAAGAAAAAAGATAGAAAGGACTGTACCAGATACTTTCTCTGTCTTTTTTTTTTTTAAAAAAAGAAAATTCTATAAATGTGTGTTTGGAAATGGGAGCGTGTCTTCATTTTGTGCTTGCAATACTCTCCGGCCTCAGTTTAACGTCAAGAGGACCCTCCTCACAAGACCCCAAAGAGCGGCCCGGAGCCTGGGCATCAGTCAGGCACTGGCCTGTTGTCTTCAGAATAATCCCAGCAGTTGCCCCTGAATGGAACTTGCCCAAGATGAATCTTGTAGGGCGGTTCTTCCCATCTGCGCCAGGAGAAAGGGTCTCTTTCACTCGTTTTCTGTTGGAGCCTTAGCGCAGCCCTGCTGGATCTCAGCTTCCCATTTCCTGCACTGGTCAATCTTCATCATCAACCAACTGCTGCTTCTGAGAAGCCCCACAAGCAGCCAAGGACCCCCCCCCCCCGCTTGCTTGTAACTGGTATTCAGAGGTAGACTGCCTCTGTCCAAGGAGGCCCATCTAGCTATCCTAGCTATAAGCCATGGCTAGCTCTCTCTCTCCGCATTTGCCCTCCTCGTCCTCTAAAGATCACGAAGCCACAAAATCATGTAGGAAGGAACAGCTCTCCTTTGCAAGAAGGGCTTTTACACTCGCCACAAGCTCGGCTCTGCCCTCGCCGGTCCTGCCCAATGTTGCTGCCCAATGTAGGAGCCACTGCTGAGAAGGCTGTGTCCCACACAGCAGCCTACTGCATGGAAGACCCAGAACAGGGTCTCCAAAGATCGCCTCAGTGCATATGTATATGGTGTTGAATAGGAGATGGCAGTCCTTCAAATATCCTGGTGCCAGACCATTTTAGCTTTAAATGTAAAAAACAGAACTTCAGCCTATTGCATTTTAGAACTCTTGCCTGACTACTGCATTCTGGGCCAGTTGCAATCTCCAAATACTTTTCAATGGCATCCCACACATTAGAGTGAGTATAATCGCCTTTGAAATGCATCAATGCAGGAGAAGGTCGTCTTTGTCATTTTGCCCTGGCTTTCAAACTCCCTACCTAAGGACTCCTCTTTGGGGACCTTTTGCCATTGCACCAAAACCTTCCTTTTTTGGCAGGAATGTGACTAGATGTTGCCAAGGCCCTTTGTGGCTCTGTCACACCAGTAGAGTAGCCAAAGGACCCTGACTAGTGGGGAAACTGGCATCACAGTCCTCAACTGCTCAGGCGTTTCTTTACACAGCTGCTTTTGGGTGTAATAATAATCAGCTGAGAGCAAGGAGAGCCAATTTGGTGCCCTTCAAACATTGCTGGATTACAGTTTCCATCAGAGGTAATAATTATATTTATACCCCGCCCATCTGGCTGGGTATCCCCAGCCCCAACAGAGAACTAAAAACAGCTCTCCTTTGGCAGAAATTCCTTGTTTTCAGGCCTGAGGGAGCAGTAGTAACCTCCTTTGACTTCATCCTGGCTTTCTGTGCATGGTGTATGATGCCCCCTCACAAAGAACTCCAACTGTCAGGGGTCCTTTACCTTTTTTAAAAACAGGTTAGAAGATGGCCTTGCTGCCACAATTAATGGGGCACTCTTAAAAGGGAGACACCGAGGTTCCGTGTTGTTCAACATTTTAAATCATTTTTTAATTATTATTATTATTTATACCCTGCTCATCTGACTGTGTTGCCTCAGCCACTCTGGGCAGCTTCCAACACACATAAAAACACGATAAAACATCATACATTAAAAACTTCCCGATACAGGGCTGCCTTCAGATGTCTTCTAATTAAGAAAAACGAACAAAAGGAGATTCGGTTTACAAATGGCCTTGACGTACCATTAAGGGAAGGTGGACTCTCTTTCCTTGGAAGTTTCTAAGGAGAGGTCGGATGGCCATCTGTCGGGGATGCCTTAGTTGTGATTCCTGCACTGCAGGGGGTTGGACTAGATGACCCCCGGGAACCCTTCCAACTATAGTATTCTGTAATTGTATTTCCAGCAAACACTCCTCAGGACAAAATCCTACCAAAGCAGCATGTTTCAAAATCATCACCCACACTGTTTCACAACAGGTGATGTTCCGCTTAAGTTTTGCTCCAGAGCAGACCTCATTTAATCGCCGGATGTGACTTTCGTTCGGTCCATGAATTTCAGTGGGTCTTGCGTGCAACGAGCTTCATGGAACAGCCCCCAGTACAGCAGAGGGATGTGTCAGTGTTTGCAAAAAAAAGAAGGGTTCTGACCTCCCTTCATTGCCTCAGCCTGGTCCTCGGACCCTTGTTGGCATAAAAGAGTCCACAAGAAGAATATACTTGCAGAGTACTTTCTGCTTTTATTCTTAAAAGTCTTTCTGCAAAAGCGACTGACCAACTATACACACCTCAACACTACCAGCTTTCACCAACCAACCAACCCAACCAAACACCAAAACTAACATTTCTCACTCTATATATACAACCGGGTGCAGGCCGCTGACTCATGCTGACCCAGCTTTTTAAGCATTAAATAAACAGCGGCCAATTTTAAGCCGTGACAGGATGCAGCAATAGGTTCGTTTAAAGGTAAAGGTACCCCTGCCCATACGGGCCAGTCTTGCCAGACTCTGGGGTTGTGCGCCCATCTCACTCAAGAGGCCGGGGGCCAGCACTGTCCGCAGACACTTCCGGGTCACGTGGCCAGCGTGACAAGCTGCATCTGGCGAGCCAGCGCAGCACACGGAACGCCGTTTACCTTCCCACCATTAAGCGGTCCCTATTTATCTACTTGCACCCGGGGGTGCTTTCGAACTGCTAGGTTGGCAGGCGCTGGGACCGAACAACGGGAGCGCACCCCGCCGCGGGGATTCGAACCGCCGACCTTTCGATCGGCAAGTCCTAGGCGCTGAGGCTTTAACCCACAGCGCCACCCACGTCCTGAGAGGTTTGTTTATAAGTAGATAAAAATAATTGCATAATGTCCCCTTGTAAAACACCAGGGGACAACATCAAAGGGGGGGGCACTTAAAAAGGGATCTGCAGAACCCGAATGGAAAGGGCCGGTTCCTCCAGAGCCTGTCAAGCCAAGTGGGTCGGGCTTGTCGGCCAGAGGTGGTCTTCTCCCACTGCAGGGGGGCTGAGGCAGGAGGGAGGGGGTCAAGAGGGGCCTGGGGATCTTGTTGGGTCCCCTATTTGGACCTGAGCTGTCTTGGACAGAGAATCAATAATAGACGGAGACAGGGAGATCCAATGAACACACCTTTATTCAGCTGAGCAAAGAGAGGACAAGCACATCCAAACAAAGGAATGGAAATTTCCCACTGAGAAAAAGTTTTCCTTTCTTTATAAGCCCCCCCCCTTTCCTCCTCCCTCCCTGCCTGTACAGTGGAACCTCCGGTTGCGAACGTGATCCGTGTGGGAGGCACGTTCACAACCCGCAGCCCTGCGTCTGCGCATGTGCGTGATGCAATTCCGTGCTTCTGCGCAAAGCGTGGAACCCGGCAGTAACCCGTTCTGGCACTTCTGGGTTTGGCACGGTCCGTAACCCGAAAACGCACAACCCGCACCGTTTGCAACCCGAGGTCTGACTGTAATTAGACCAGCCCGACTTCGAGACACAGGAGACAAACGCCTTCTCGCCTATTCTAACAGAGGCCCTTTCTCTTTTACATTCCTTGGCTAGAACAAAGCTGATAAGGACAGTTGGGCTGATTAATGGGCTTTCACAGGAAACAAAGCATAGTCTAGGCAGGGGTCAGCAAACTTTTTCAGCAGGGGGCCGGTCCACTGTCCCTCAGACCTTTTGGGGAACCGGACTGTATTTTTTTGGGGGGGGGGAATGAATGAATTCCTCTGCCCCACAAATAACCCAGAGGTGCATTTTAAATAAAAGGACACATTCTACTCATGTAAAAACATGCTGGTTCCCAGACCATCCGCAGGCCGGATTTAGAAGGTGATTGGCTCACGGCCCTGGGCCTTAGGTTGCCTACCCCTGACTTAGGCTACTTCAAAGAGCAGATAGCAGTGTTTGGGACCATAAGCTCTTGACAGATTCATTTGCAAGAGCCAAGACAGAAACCAGCCTTCTTTTCAAACAGGCACAGGCAAACTCAGCCCTCCAGATGTTTTGGAACTACAACTCCCATCATCCCTAGCTAACAGGCTCAGTGGTCAGGGAGGGATGATGGGGGTTGTAGTCCCAAAACATCTGGCGGGCCGAGTTTGCCTGTGCCTGTTTGAAAAGCACCCAAGATTAATTCAGCAAGCGATTTGTACAGAAGCGAGACGGCGTTAGTTATGCCATATACAAAACAGAATAAAGAAACATATGTGAGACCCCATTATCTAGCCCCCGCCCGCCTCCTCCGTGAAGGTGCCCGGCCTCCCGTGGCAGGGAGTTCCGCAGGTGACCTGCTTCGCTCCCGCGCGGGCGGCCCTTTCTCCTCCCCGCGCAGCGAGGGAATCAACGTCCGGCTCCCCTTCGCAGCAGCAGGCGCGGCGCCTCCGCCGCCATGTGCGGGGCGAGAGCGAGGGACTGGGGGCGGAGGCGGCTCAGGCCGGCGCAGTTCCCGTTTCTCCTTTCCCCACAGAGGCGCCTCTCCCGGCGGGCCGAGCCAGAGGAGGCCGCGCCGAGGTCCTCCCCCCCCCCCGGGCCCGCGCGCGAGGTGCCGCCGGAGTCGCACGGGAGCCGGCGCTGCGCCTTGGCCGCCCCTCTTTCCCGGGCCGGGCGGAAGGCTTTCGGGGCCGGACCGGCTTCCGGCGGCGGCGCGTGCGCAGAGCGAGGCGGCGCGGCGAGGGCGAGCGAGATGCTGGCGCTGCGGGCGGCGCGGGGGGCGGCGCGGGGGCTGCTCCTCCGGGAGGTGGGCGAGGGGGAAGGAAGGGGGTGGGGGACCCTCCGGGGAAAGGGGGCCTCGCGGCTCCTGCCTCTGCTGCTTCCTCGGGGCAGAGACCCTGCCCTGCAACCCTGGCCGGGCTTGGGGGGGGGGAATGGAGTTTCACTCCCTTCACTTTATGTTTCGAAAACATGTTCTTCGCCTCTGAGATCTCCATGGATCTATTCCAGGCTTCCTCAGCCTCAGCCCTCCAGATGTTTTGGGACTACAACGCCCATCATCCCTGACCACTGGCCCTG